ACTCACTTGACCCTGGGAATTGTGAGTATTACCCAGTACCCATACTCACTTGACTTTGGAATTGTGAGTACTACTCAGTACCCATACTCACATGCTAAAACAGTGTGAGTACCACGCCCTGATCCTGCTTGGCCAAATCAAATCTATTCAGGCTTCGGCGCGAACCCTCCGAGAGAAGCAGCTTCACGCACCCACAAGAAGCAAACATCTTAAAGAAAGCAAGATGACGGACGCCCCCGAGGGAGAGACCATGGACCGCAGCACTAGCACCAGCACCAGCAACAACGATAACAAGAAGCCCAAGAAGAAGCAGAAGAAGAAGCCCAAGAAGCCACAAAATCGCAAAGAGGCACGGGCCATTGAATTGCAGCAAAAGGTACAAGAAGAACAGCAACAAAAGAACCCAAATGGTGAAGTCACTCCAAATAATAAAAAGCAGCAAGAAGAGCAATGGTGGGATCCCTGTGTAGAGACAGTTGGACACTGTGTTTGCTGCTGTGGGCTATTTGACAGGGACCATAGGTGGATGCGCATTTTCGATCTTTGTGCTCCCTGCTGTCGATGCTGCTGTGGAGTTTCAGGAGCCTCTTCGTAGCACAAGCAAACAAGAGAATTCAGCAGCAAGCTTAGAAAGAAAAATCAAGATACAGACGCCATGGCTAATTGATTGCGTGCTTGCTGGTACCGTACCGGTCTGCTGTGTGAGGAAACAAATGGTGCGTCGGTTGGGGTTTGGTTAAGTGTGATTGAATGTGGCTGGGCATGATGGGGCGGTTTGTATTGCAGATGTAAACAATCAATACCTTCAGTGCTTGTAATGGAGGAGCTGCAAAAGATTCGACCTTTGCTCCTCAGGCACACATGTTTAGTTCCATTGAATTGCCCTCCTCCACGATGAATGCCCCAAGGCGCGTCCTTCGGAAGGTTTTATCAAGTCTGGAGGAAGACGGGGAAAGCTGGGCCGGTTACGATAATGATTCGATTGAAGTTATCCACGACGAACCACAAACTACAAAGCAAACGCGTGAAGCCAGTACTGTACCGGTATGCAAAAGCAAGTTTCATAGTTATTGCAACCTTTACCGTTGCATTGGGCCCATTTTGGTTGATTGCAGTCATTCGTGGCACCTCTATCTATCTGTAGCATTGGACTTCTTTTGGATTTTGACCCGACCGGTACATTTCCCGTCCGGCTCCCCTCCGTAGTCGGCACCTCTGACGCAGCCAACACCCCATGAATAATTTGCATTCCAGCAACACAGACCTGACTATGCCGCCCTCTCCAGGTACCAGACACCGACCGGCAATTTGACCGATCCCCGCCCTGGCAACTGGATCAACACCAGGCTGGTCCAGGGCCAGGGCCAGGGCCAAATAGTAGATGGGCAACTGGGCTGATGGGAGGAGCGACATCGTTAGAGCATACAGCTTCGCAAGCCAATCTCTATCCAGGACCCAGGATCGAGCCACCGCAAGACCTTGCAGGTAAGAGTTTCAACCATACTAGTAGTCGGACTAACGTAGGAATGGCCCTTCTTCTTCCTCCTCCTGCCCTCATTGGAAGGGGCCGAACAAGGTGAACCAAGGTGTTTTCTTCTTTCTGCCCATGAAAGTCTATTCAAGTGCAGAATCCAAGGCCACCCAAGGCCACCCCAATAGTTGGCGGCAACCATGCAATAAGGAGAGTAGCCAGCTAGAAACAGCAAGAAAACCGGTGCGCAATGTAAGTGCACAACTGGGGACGAGTTGCCGCCTTTAGACATCCAGGAAGGCGCTTGAAGGTTGAAGGAAGCCGGTCAATGACTGCAGCCGATGATCCCTGAGCAAGAAATGCATATCGCTTGGTGCCCCACCTCTGGAAAAAAGTAAGATGATACAACGAGAATCAAATGCGCACAAAGTGACGACTTTTGCCAGGTTTTGGGTAACACAAGCTCATTTCACTGGACTGGGCCGACCTGCACTTTAGATTGAAGAAAGCACATTATGACGCACTATTTCAAAAAGATCTTGTGCATTGATCTTAATGCCTATTTGAGGACGCTTTCCTCCCCAGGCGAACTTGACAGCCACATTAATCATTATTGTACAATGATAATTTCGTGCGTCAAAAGAGACACAAATGATTTAAAAGGACATACCATCGAAGAATTGCGTCATTAGTGATAATCCGGCTTCAATCTCCAAAACTGTCCTTTTTGTCTAAAGGTTCAAGATCTTCTTGCTATTGATTGAAATACTGGTCACCAGAGGCAGCGGTCACTAGCTGCAGCTAGCTAGCTCTTGCAAGCTTCTAGCTAGCTAGCTAGCTAGCTCAATGATGCACTGGCTACCGGTAGCAAGTCGTGCCTTAGTTAGTTGCAAAGCGTACTAACGGTTGTGAAATATGGCGAATTGGCAAAAAGCTTTTTACTTCCTCTTGCTTGGATGCCAACGTGCCTGGGCTTCGAAGACCATCTCTCCTATCAATCGAAAACCTCGGCTCCTTCTATCTATGGGGATCGAGGGGCAGTTGCATGTAGTGAACCAGAAACCCAAAAACATTGAATGACCCATTCGAATTCTTGCTTTGCCTTTGCACCAGTCTCTGCTGGTACGGGTACTTTGTGGCTTTGGCGAGAGCGAAAAATCTTCCTTGGACAGAGCTCACAATCCTGACCAATACCACTTCCGCATCGGTACTTCTACAGGTTACAATAGTATACTAGCTAGCTACCACGCACAACGAGACCCACAAGCACACAAGCATACCAGCCAACAGTAACATGGAGCTTTCACGGTTTCTTGCTCTCGCATTGCCTGCCCTGAACAATTGTTCTTTGGTTGTCGACAATGCTGCTACACACTTCTCACCGGAAAACGCATTGGCAAGGTCCCCGCCCCCCACTATGAGGAAGTCAAAGCTCTGTCGATGGGACAGCTCTTTGTCGAAAAGAGAGTGCTTGGCGCCACTCCTGGACTCACCAAAGCGATCAAGCGATGAAACCCCCGAGGAGGCCACATTTGAAATGGAGTCATCCAAGCTGATCTTTCTCGACTCTCCCGTGCAATCTTACGATGAGCCAGAAAACGAGAGGAACTATGGTGGTTCCTCTTACTATCGCTCCCAAGGAGGAGGGAAGCTGCAAAACCAAGGAGCAACCACCAAAAACGACGCACATCTCTCCCGACGTCGGTTTAGCTTTGACTGTGACATGTCCTGGGCGGAGAAACTGCAGCCCTCCCCTACGACTTCGTTGGATGCTTGCGAGCCCCCTCGAATGCCACTACGCACCACAGGGGATTTTTTCCCAGAAGCAGACGAGCGGGAGCAATGATGAGCCGTCGGACAATTGGACGGCAACGTTTTAGACCCGACTTCGCTACCAGTACTTGAAACATAATGTACATAGACTAGTCACCAATGATCATTTATAGCAATAGAGATTACGGTACTAGCGGGGTCAAGGATGCAGCCCGAGCCCAAGAAAGAAGCAATGTCCGTTTGTTGGTTTGGTTGCCCACCGATTGCTTGCAGCTTTCCAATCGATATGATTGCTCGGCTGATCATCCTTGAAAGGACAAAACCAACCGCAGGCTCTTCCTAGACCTATATTGGCATACCATGGTACCGGTACCTAACGAAGGTGCTCTAGAGATAGACTACTGTACTAGATAGATGCATACGCAACAAAGAGCTCTTTCAGCGGGCGAGAATTGCTCCTCCCTGTGCACGAGGAAGCTTCGATTTCCTTATCCAGTTAGTGCACGATAGACTTTGATGTATCCACCAGTCTGCGTTGGAGCACGCCCCGAGAAGTCGGAGAAGTGGCCGCTGCAACTTTGGTCTCGGGATGCTACTCTATTTCAGTGCTCTAAGGACCAAGGAACCAACACTTCTCCCCATGCACAGTATTCGTAGTGCATAACTACTAGACAACTGAGGATACCGGTATGCTAGCTAGCCTATGACATGTGCGAAGAGTTGGGCAAGTTGAAGCCAACCAGGGTGACGCACATTCACTGTGTCAGAAGGGTGCTCAATCATTGCTCCTCTCCCACTTGCCGACCAAAGAAACTTTTTTTTGCTGGATTAGCCCCCCTTCGAACGCACTTTGCTTCCGAGGAACAATACTGGTACCTTTGACCGCAATGGAGGCATGTTGTAAATGTAGATAGATACCTTTCTTTTTGCACCGAACCAGCCTTCCCGGGAGGGTTTCCCCGACTAGCCCTTATTAAAGCAACCAACAAGCTACCTAAAAGTTGCTTCCAGTTTGGCCATGTAGGTGGCTTTGAAATTAAAAACTGGCTGCCTGTATGTAGTACCTCTTATCCTTCACTGTCGTACTAGAGAGTTCTTCACCTTGGCAGACTTGTTATACGGTAGCAACAACATCCCCAGTGTTGCTTTGCTCTCCCCCATGTGCACGATCAACGGTGAGGTGAAGACAAAGTGCAACTGTATCGGACTTCTTCAGAGGAATGAATCAATTCTCATGCCTTCTTTGTTCGTCGAGAACACTGAGCTACCGGTGATAACTGTGGGCACCATCCGATAGCCCGAGATGCTGGATCGGCCACACCACTAACGCACTTCTTCTTGGAGCTACATGAACAGGAAGGTTGTTGCAATCAGGATGAAAAGACTGCGAGCAAAGGTGACATCATCTCGAGTGGACAATCCTATGACCAAAGTCTGTTCCTTCTTCCCCTCCAACTCATCTTCAGGTCAAAGTAACGGTCCGGACAGTCTAAGAGTTCTTCCAGCTATGTTGGCTCACCTGGTACGGTATGTGAAGGTTCGCACCAGTCGAGGATGGTTTTCCAGCTACCGTACCGGTATGTTGGCTCATTGCTATGACGTCAGTCGAGTCGTGCGGGGATTCTTTGGAACTCTCTCCAGGTCTCACGATGACTCTGCTGTTCCGGTAGGTTTCAAGTTGCTTGCCAGTGAATGCAGGCCATTGAATGGCTTGCCGCTGCCTCTTTCCCACAGATTATGCAATTTCAGCATGACACATCGAGCTTTACTGAATTGGCGAGGTAGTCGGATCGCTGCCGGTATACCTCGCTACGGCAGTTTGTTGACCCTATCGGGACGCCGTGATGGACACCTACCAAGACACCTATCTCACATCTCCACCAGAGGCGTGTCGCTGTCAGGCGACAGAAGAAGAAATTCTGGGTCAGGACAGTCCTCTTACATCAAACTCAGGTACCCTGAAAGAACGACGCGAGGCCAAGAATGTCAATTTGGGCATTTTTCCACGCAAGCAACTACTGCTGGTCAAGTCTCCAACGAGAAAGAAGATGAACAGGACAATCCACAAAATGCCACCACAAACAAAGACGGCAGCAGCGACCAAAATATCGACTCCCTTCGTCGCTTGGCTGAATTTTCGAAGCCGGAACATTCCTATATTGCCTGGTCAGCTGCTACGCTGTTAGTCACCAGCTCCTCTACTTTGATTCTTCCCACGGCTTCTGGGAAAGTTCTGGATTTGATATTGAGTGGAGATCCTACCGTGTCACCAACTCTTGTGGCAGCTGGATTGTTTGGCCTCACAGCGGCGGCTGGAGCAGGAGTATATGCTCGTACGCTTTGGCTTCAACAGGCTGGTAACACCTTGGTGGCGCGTCTCAAGGGAGAGCTTTATCAAACCATGCTGAACCAAGAAGTGGCATACTTTGATAAGACCAAAACCGGTGATCTCATGACTCGCTTGTCCAATGATACATCCATGATCCAATCAGCCGTCACAACACAAGCGGTAGCGGCAATGCGAGCCATTGTTATGTCCACTGGCTCTGCCGTCATGCTGTTTCAAACTTCGACAACATTGGCATTGGTGTCATTGGGGACCTTGCCACCACTCTTCTTGGCAGCTCGCCAAGTAGGCCAGACATTGAGAGAAAAGCAACGTCATGTACAAGACCTGCACAGCCATGCGTCGTCACTAGCTGAAGAAGGTCTCAATGGCATTCGAACCGTGGTGCAGTTTGGAGCGCAATCCTTGGAATCCAAACGATACAGCGAGGCTGCCTCCAATGCTCATGACCATGCCATTGCTACGGGACGTACGCAGGCATTGTTCGACGGAGCAGTTCACGTAGGTGCCAATGGCGCCATTTTGACCGTGCTGGGATACGGTGGTCACTTGGTCCAAGCAGGTGCTATCACGGCTGGTGATTTGACCGGATTCCTGCTCTACTCGCTCTTGATGGCGGGCAATGTCAGTTCGCTGAGTGGCACCTATGCCGAAGTCTTGAAGGCTGTGGCAGCAGCCGACCGCGTCTGGGAAATTCTCGATCGCAAACCAGCAATGTCATCGTTATCATCACGCGATAATTCGCTCGACTCGAACAGAAACTTTGACCGCCCCTTGCCGGTGGAATTTTCAAACATTCATTTCGCTTATCCTACAAGGTCAGAAAAGTCCATCGTGGGCCCCAACTTCAGCCTTACCGTGCGACCGGGAGAAATCATGTCTATTGTGGGTGGATCAGGAAGTGGAAAGAGCACCCTGGCCAGTTTGCTGACACGTCTATATGACATTGATGCTGGTTCCAACGATGGCAATGATGGGATCAAGGGTGCAATCTTGGTGGACAACAAAGATATCCGCGATTGGGATGCCAATGAGTTGCGACAATCTGTGATTGGCATTGTCTCACAGGAACCTTGGCTCTTGGATGGAAGCATAGCTGAGAACATTCGATACGGTCGACCCACTGCAAGCGACGAAGAAGTTGAAGAGGCAGCCAGACTGGCAAACGTCATGCCGTTTGTCCAAGCATTCCCTAACGGCCTTGAGACTCAAGTGGGGCCACGAGGAACACAGCTTTCGGGAGGGTAAGTTCAAGTGCTAAGAATGTTGTGGAAGTGCATTGCATCGGGCTTCTCAAGATTGGATTTTCTCTCTGCGCCCACAGTCAAAAGCAGCGTGTTGCAATTGCTCGACTGATACTTAAAGACCCTCCGGTGATCATTCTGGATGAAGCTACTAGCGCCTTGGACGCCCAAAGCGAGCATCTTGTCAAACAAGCAATTGACTCCGTGATGAAGGGAAGGACGGTCATTTCCATTGCTCATAGGTTGTCCACAATAAGAGGGTCAGATAGAATTGCCGTCTTGCAGGATGGACAAATAGCGGAAGTGGGAACTTTTGATGAGCTTGCTCAAAAGACAGACGGTGCCTTCAGGGCGCTCATGGGTAGACAGCTGATTACAACCTCAGGGTAAAGTTCGTTAAAGTGCCGTTCTCGTCTTACAAAATGTAGGCCATAGCTTTTGTGTCGTGGACGATGTCTGCAGTTGCAAAGCCATTGTGAACGCTACTGCAGTTACATTGAGGAAGCCGAAGCAAGAAACCCTAATGGAACACCATGAAAAGTTGCCAACAAGGAAGCTACCAATGCGCTGGGCTCCGGATCCATGCACTATCAAGCAGGAAATGTAGAAAGGAGGGAAGGGAAGGGCGATCAGCGACTAAATAGGATTTTGACTTGACTCTGGCTCGATTAAGTTTCGTGTCTTGCCGAACGGTCAAAGATTTAACTGGAGGTTGCAATTGGGCTTGAGCCGAAGAGGGATGGTGACGCCATGGTCGGGGGTCAGGCTGGCTGATCAATTCGAAATGCATCGCCATGGAACGGAACTCAGACAGATCTTGGGCAGAGTTGGATCATTTCCACTCCAACTTGATCACTAATTTGAAAGCAGGCTAAGATCGTCAACAACACACGTTCTGTTTGAAAAAATGAACTATTGAACGATCTATAACTTCATATGCATCTGAATCTTTGGGTTGGTGTTGGGCAAAACAATCTGGCAGTGCAAAAAATTGCCTCCGCTGGCTATACCAAGAGCACAAACCAGCCTTTCGTGGCATCGTCTATTTCTTGGCTTGTCGAATGGCAGCAATCATCTGAGAGGACAGCCGCGCATACACATCCTGCCATTGGGCATGGAGTTCCTTGTTCCATTGATCTGGCAGCATGGATTCCAAAGTGTCAAAAAGAGCTTCACCCATGACGGCAAAGAACTCTGGCTTGACTCCGTACGCTGCATGCAACTGCCCCAGTTCCTTCAGGTTTTGTTCCATTTGCTTCGCTTCTACCATGCCCAGTGCCTTGTCCAGCATTTCAATAAAGTACTTGCTATGCATTCGGAATCGTCGACTCTTGAGCAAGACCTCTGATTCTGTGTCCAAATCAAGGGGGAATCCAAAGAGAGTTTTGGTTTCGGGACACAATGCAAACAGCTTGCGGAACAAGAGTGAACCGGAGCGCTCCTCGTAGTCCTCCGTCTCTTTGAGGCTTGCCCAGCTATCCAAGACGGACTTCTCCGAGTTCATGGACTTGACAATGTTGGTGGAGAGGGCGTGGTAGACTTCCTTCCAGTGCGACTCAATATCAGGGGTGAACTCAGTACCAAGCACTTCTCGAAGCGTCAAGATGAGGGCATCTCCCATAAAAGGAAAGAAGCGTTCCTGAACGCCAAGCCTGGCATGTTTCTTGCCCAAGTCAGAGAGAATTTCTCCCAGGAGCTCAGCATCAGGTCCAAGCATGTTGAGGGCTCTGTCAAGCATATTGATCATGTATTTGGCATGAGTCTGGAAGCGTGGACTATTCTTGACTTCTTCACATCGGGGGTCCATATCCATGGGGAAGCCAAAGAGGACCTTGGTGGCAGGGCACAACTCGAAGAGACTGTTTCAAAGCAATAAAGACGAGAAAAAGTGAGCGAAGGCAGCACCAATCCATGCAAGATACTACACTTCCAGCTGCAACTTACTGCATGAATAGGATAGTTCCAGCCACTTCGTTATGGTTTGGGACGCGTCTTAGTGATTCCCAGCTGTCAATGACAGAGAATAGAGTTGTACATTCCATTTCCAAACTCATGGTTGGTGTTTTCGTTTTGGTCAGGTGAAGAAAGAAGGTGGAAAGATTGCAAGTGCTCTGGCGTTAAATTGTGAGATCAATGGGTGTGCTTTTGGGAGGGTGAATATCTGGAATCTAGAAGGAGTCATCCAAATTCAGGTCCACGTCATTTATTTTGGAGTCGGAGATGTGCACATGAAATCCATCATTGGTTCCTAGCTAGACTACCGATACTGGGACACTCTGGACTCTGAACTCTCGAGCTGCCAGTAAGAGGTACTGAGTACCGGTTTAGCAACAGAATCGAATCTATTTTTAATATCATCATCTGTGAAAACTGGGGCTGATCTAATCTAATCTAATCGGTCAGTGGCCAGGGCTGCAAAGCTGGCTGCTTGAATGATCATTCAAGCCCAAACCAGCCAACAATTTTCTTTTGGCAGGATGGTTGGAGGTTGGAGGTACTTCCGTACCGGCAGGAGGAGAGCTTCGTCATTATTTTGATTGCGAATTTTAGGGATCCAGTTGGCTCCAAACTTTCTCAGTGGACCTAGCCAGACTGGTCAACTTCTTTTTCTCCTGTACAGCTGGCATTTGGAGAACAAAGCAGTACAGTTGTAGATAGTACACATACATGTATGTGACTAGTGACAGGAGAAGAGCAAAAGAGGATTAAGAATCAATGGTTACTGGGAACGAAATTGAACCACGTAAGCACGAAAGTTCAACAGCAGGTCATTTGTTAAACCAAGTGTCCCCCCTGACTTCAACCCTTGAACTTTTGGTACTATTTATAGTAGCTCTTCTGGTGTGGAATTCACCACGTCACCACGCGCATTGACCATCATCGCGCTGGAAGATCTTCCTTGCATCTTTTCTCCCTGCGTTGCCAGCTACCACACTCGTACCGGACCATCGTTACTAGACTATCGTTAGCTAGCTAGCTACTTGCTAGCTAGTAGGGCATGGAAGCTATTGGATTACATGTAGCTCTCCACCGTTCCCAGGTCACAGCAAAGGAGGATGTATGTAGGAACGGAGGTGTAAAGAGGCTGTAACCCGTAACCAACATGGTTCTACTGCCGCATTATCTTCCTGCCTCCTCTACTAAAAACGGTGACTCTAATGTTCAGATACCGTATGGAGCAAGAAAGTAGCCAGGAGGGTGAGCACGTGAGCATCGTTGAATGATTCAATCAAGACCCATCGGGCTATCATACTTCCTTTTGGCAATAGCCCGAACAACACATCAGAAAGTAGTTGGCTGGTGGGATAAGGTCCTCGCTGGTTCTTGGTCCTGCAAGATACCTTTGCACTAGACTTTTGTATTGTAAACTTGGCCGCTAGCTAGTAGCTAGACAGAGAAGTAAACTTGCCGAAGCGGAACACGAGAAAAGCCGCTGTGGGCTTCCTATCCGGCTTAACGAGTGGATAGTTCTTGGTACCGTACATGTACCAGTCCCGGTCCCGGTCAAAAAGGGCAATGCCCCCCCGAAGAAAAGTGTTGGCTCCTTGCATCCTTACTGGTTAAGACGTTAAGACTGCAGCCTTGGACCTTCGAATCTTCGAATGCAGTCACAGTCCCAAGGAAAGGGCCTGAGTGGGTTCATTTGAGGGCTGGAACATTGGAGCATGCCTAGCGCCCTCAGCCTCACGAGGTTTGTCGGTGCTGAGCCAGCACTGGTATTGCTCCAACCCACCTTGCAACACTCGCCTGAATCGTCCCTGAAGTCAGAGTATTTTCCAAGCAGCTAGCTAGAGATGCTCGAACACCGTTTTTCAAACCGTCCATCTTGAGCTAAAGGCACTTAGCTAGTGTTGATGCAGAACTCGGGCTGATAGAACATGGCCAGTACGAGGAACACCGTCGATCTTCCTGTTTCGTTGGCTACACCAAACAAAAGTACTTTGAACAAAGTGTGGGCAGCAGAAGGATGCCAACTTCCGGGGCCGTCGGAAAATCTTCGAAAGAGAGGCGTACAAGACCCAACGAAGGATAAATGGTGGGAACGTAGAATTGGACTGTAGCCGTACAAACATGCAAGTATACAGCCAACTACGCTCATGGTAACCGTTGTTTTTGCACGCCACCTCTGGACAAGATGAATGCCTGTCAGTACCGCTATGCGAGCCTACTTTGAAAGTTCCAAAAAGAACCACCAACGCTCGCTCTTGCAAGGTTTGTAGAGCTTCAACACAAGCAACCATGGGACGAGGCCCGCAACTCTGTCAGTTTCCAAAACTTTGCCAGCATCAAGGCGTACCCTCTAAGACGTACTCTAACCGGGCAGGACAGCGATGGCGTGATCCAGAGAGGAGCGTTCAAATGGATCCTTCACTCTGGTGTCTGGTGAAAGCCTTCTCTTCTGCAGAAAGAAGCTGGGCTAAGAAGACATTGGTTCCAATATCCACCAAGTGAAAATCAAAGTATTCGTAGCCACCAGAGAGAAGATTCTGTCAATGTCTCTCCTGCCTGGTGAAGCTTCTTCCGGCATGGCCTCGCCTTCCTGCTCATGGCGAGCAACAGGAAGAGCCGCACTCTGCGAGAGCCATGAGCAGCAATCAAGTCAAAGCTACTAGTATTGTATAGTCTTTCGCTGACGGATATGTACTACAAATGGAGGAGCCTCCATCCAGGAATGCTTCGATGAAGATCTTGAAACCGATATGGTCCATCGTTGCAGGCTTGCCATGGCACCATTGAGAAGAAAGCTCGACTATGCCGAGCGTACGCTGAGGCAAGGAACGACGCCACCGGGTACATCTAATACCTGCTGACTCAGCACAGCACGATGATGAGAAATCAAGGGTGATCCTGGCTGAAGAACAGACCGGGGGGATTAGCGTTCAAGCCACTGTAACAATCGTCAAGCCCCAAGATGACGACAACGCACCAGAGAAAACGTGTGCGAAGGACCGCCCCGAAGTCCTGCTGAGGTACTTCCTCACACCTCCCGGTACCAATGACTGCTGGCTGGTTCGGGCACTCTTCAGATTCTTGCCCCCATAGTATACTCCTGCCTCATGCGTACTAGTACGGCATGACCCAGTGGCAATTGGCTGATCTATAGTAAGCGAGGGTACCATTGCCACTTTCACAGGATGCGGTGTTTTGTGAATGCGGGGGCAGTTCGTTCATCAAGTTGAACCCCAGACGATGGCAAAACGTGCTTTAAAACCTCGATGCATTGGCATACAGAGAGGCACAAGAAGACTGCAACACGCGTTGAAGGGAATCTTGTTGGCTATTGGATGATTTAGGACAACGCACTTTTGTCATCGACTTTCCCGCATGCAGTTGTAAGTCCTTCCCTGTGAGTCGAACTGCCCCTATTGATGCATATAAGTTGAGGAGGACAGCCAAGCAATTGCCACTTGAACGAGAAGAGAGAAGAACCTAGCAAGGAGTGAGGTCTCTTTTGCTTCGGCAACCGACCTTTACGTCCCTCCTCGTCTACTTGAAGCGATGACCTGAGAGAAACTCAATAAGAATGCAAATCCAACACGAACAGCTACTATTGGGTGGGGATGCTTTAGATCAAGAAAGGAGCAATGGCAAGCATGCCAACATAGCTAGCACACCGGTAGCTGAAACACTGGTGATGAAGATTCCCACTGACAGACTCGGTACCGGTAGACTATGTCTCTTAATCGGATTTGCATGAGAGCTTCGCTTCAATGCCGACCGGTATGGACGACAAGAAGACTGGATGGCAACATCAGCGAGAGTCAACAACTCCCAATCTCTAGACTCTACTAGATCTAGCTAGAGTATCCAAATCGAAGTGCAGTCTTTTCAGCTTTTCAGCTTTTCTGGACTAGCTAGACTCTCACTGATGACAGCTTCGCTGTTGATGTTGACTATGGCTTACCGGTACGGTAGACGGTAGATACCGATACCTGGTAGTTTGGTACCATACTGTAGCCACCCCACTTCCGCCAAAGCTACTATTAACGACGAGGCTAAAGTCCACTATCACTCCCCCACCATGTAAAAACCATTTTTGGCAGTCCCTCCAGCGACAAGCACAACTGAAGCATCGGTTGAGTTTTTTATATGTTCTTCATACGTATACGTAGATAAACCGGCCTGCTTTGTAGAGTCATCGAGAGAGGTGCCCAGTGGTCACCCCGTAAACCTAGTCTGCTACTTAATCTCCATAGTGAAATCAAGAGATCATGATTTTTGTCTGTCACCGGTGACTGCACACAATTCTCTGCCCTGAAAACGCCCCTACTTTGTCTTCTGTATGAAACGCACACACACACAAAAAAAGCTACACTCTACACTTCAGTCACGATTTTCACAAAAAACAGATCTAGTACCGACTTAGACCATTTACTACAAGTATCATCACCACCTCCACTACACTACAGCCAATACTCTAATAATTGTACTTGACGTTGCGAAGGGCATCAAGGAGGCCATTCCAGAGGTTCCCCTCATTGTTCCTCCTCCAGACAAACTTGAACAAGCAGCCTTGAACCTGTTGCAGGAAAACGGAGGGCATTTTTGAGAGACTTTCCTGAAGGCACAGACCCCGTAACATCAATCTCCTGCACTGAACTCACCTGCTTTTTGGTCCTCTTGCGGACCGGCACCATCCTCTTAATACCATTCCAGGTGCCTTCAATTGTGTTGGTTGAACCTGAGAAAACCGCAAGACAAAGAGTTTAGCAGTAGCATCAAAATAGTGTCATTCACACGAGAAACCTACGTGCCTGGGTAACCGGATCTTTGAAATGCTTGGAGTGATTTACGCCCTCCCACTGATACAGTGGAATGCTCAATCCGTCTCCAAGTCCAAGTCCAGATACTCAATGGCAAAGTAGACTTTCCATGGTTGCTCCTGATGATGGAGCCGGCTTATGAACTTAGGATCAAGGGTAGCAGGGTTGCTGTCCCTCTTCTCCACGTACAGCAAACATCTTCCTCTCGCCTGTCAACTCCACACCACCAAACACCCCACACCTTCAACCTGTGCCGCGGTGGTACTTCCTCTTCTTTCCAAACTTGCTCTCATCTATCTCCACGACCACTCCTTCTCCTCCAATCTGACCATCCTCGCTCAGCACAACAGCGCAATCCAACTGATGCACGTACGTTGTCCACTGGTTCACTTTCGTTTTTGACCAGCCCGTGTAGGTGACAATCTGTTTGGATGTAGCACCAGTTAACCAATAGTAAAGAAACTTCATTAGATGTCTCTTGCCACCACGGTGATCAGCAAAGAAAGTTCCATAGTAGATAGATTGGGACCATTCTTTGTTGTCATTATCCCTTTTGCAGGAGCGACATCTGCACCTGACGCACTGGTCCCTATTCGGTGGAGCCAATGCCCCATCACACAGGGGACAAAACGTGGGAACAGAGATGATGCACTTGTCAACTAGGAATTGGGCAGTAGATTGCTCAGTACGGAATAGAAAATTGATTGCATCAATTGTGGGGACACCCTCCTTTCTGTTGGTGTTGGTGAGCACGCTCATGTAGTCCTTGGATGGACTGTCATGGTTGAGAGCTCTCTCCATGGGATCCATCTTTTCGGCTTTTTGGTATGTGAAGGAACCAAAAATAGTGGCTGACCGATGAGGAGTCCCTTCTCTTGCAGGAAAGAGGAAAAAGATATCTTTTTGCATTCTACGTACTGCTACACATGATCATACGGAACGTACAGGGAAGCCATACAGAGACCAATGATCACGAACAGCCAACATGGCGAACAAGTAGATAGATAAACAGTCTAGAATCTTCTTAATACTACCCCCGATCTAATACACCCTAGCATCTCTCCATTGACTCTACGTATCACTCTACCCTGGCACGGTATCTATCACGCCAGACAATGCAGGAACATCACTCAACTAGCCGTTCCTTCACGAACTGAAAACTGCCTCCAACACCGAAAACTGCCTCCAACACCGGCATTGCCTCACGTGCAATCAACCTTGCCTGGTAGCACTCAACTAGTCGGCTGCCCCTCACCAAACCCATCTTGTGCATCTGACTTGGACCCTCACCAATAAGTTTCTTGAATGTTCAGTTCCAATACTCCAGTAGTGGACTGGGTCTCGCTGAAACCCTTCCTCAGGGACAGCGGTAGTCAGGCAGTTCAGGGACCTTGTGTGCCTCAGGAGTATCCAACACCTCCAGTAGGCACCAAAACCAAGGACTTGGCCTGTCAGTCAGACAGGAGGCCAGCAGAGCTCTCTGCTGGCCCTTTTGGGCCAGCTCCACCTCAGGAGCTGGGGCTTCGTTATTCAATCGTGCAGTGGAAGTCTGGGAACATACTATCTGCTACCTCCTACTGCTTATGCCCGGCCTCAACAGGATAGGTATCAACTGCTGCGGTATCAAAGGGGCTACAAGCTAATCAGGATCGGTCTCAATCTTTCGTACTATTTTCTTAACTATGGTAGAAAGGACGATCCTTTCTTGCTGCTTTGCTGGAGATAAGCCAGCTGTGGGTGCTGGAGCTGTAGGCCAGCATAGCTGTTGGAGCTATCTCTGACGGGATCATGAGCTCTCGCTCCTAAAAGTTATCGCTCACGGAACCCACTGCACTCCCTCCGACATGAGCCCCAGTAGACCACCGTACTCACTCCACTGGGAAACTGCGACCCTGCCTCTTGGCTCAGCAAAGGTTGATTGTCACTTCTTTCTCTCATTTTTCCGGTCAGCTCCTTTTGACCAGAGGATACCAACACCAACCATGTCGCGCAAAGACGACAGGGCTTATGCCACGGACGATGAAGAAACCAAACGCCCCCCAGTCATGAACTCTACCGAAGGGTACTTCATTCCAACTCCCAAGTTTGTATCTAACCAGCGTCTTGACTCCACCAGCAAAGAAACTGGAGAACAGCAAAAGCGGGGGCTTTTTTTCTGATGTTGTCTGGAACAGCATGACCAGCACCAAGAAACCTAAGCCTAACAAAGTCGCCGTGTCAACGTCCAACTCTTGGAAAAACAATGCCAACCAGAACAAGTGCAAGTGCAAGAAGACTCCGGTTGTTACAACCAAGAAGATCCCACCAAAGCCATTGCCAAAGGAAGAGTCTGATGATGAAGTTGAGATTGTGGCTCCTCCGGCTGGCTACAAGCCCGTCCTCTCTGATTGCAAGGACCCCAAGAAGGCCTCACAAGTGCAGCAGGCTTTGCTTGAATCGGACACGGACTCGGATGACAGCTTGTTTGCTACAAAGGAATCTGCAGCCGTTTTCAATGCCCCTCCGACAGGACGTCATCGCAGAACATCAGCCAAAGCAGAAGAAATTCGCAAGAACACTCAGATTGCCATTCCAGGAACATCTTGGAGGAAAATGATGGATGCACACACCAATACAACAATGGGACTTTCGGACGTTCGATCCAAAGTCACTTCTGTGGGAAAACTCACAACAAAGGTTGTTTCCGAGATGAAGAACCTACAAGACATTCTACGCACTCTACCAAAGGAAGCTTCTAAGTCAGTTATTGACGGACTATCTAGGGCATGGAGGGACCTTGGTGAAGGATTGCGTACAGTCACCATGTCATTGGATGTCAAGATGGATGGTGTTGAATCGCGTTTGATGAGCAAGCTGGAAGAGGCCACAAGCTCTGTAGTCGCAGCTGAGTCGCGTATCATGACAAAGCTCAAGGATTCCACCACGGACTTGAAGCGCCACACTACACAGAAGTGTGCTGTGTCCAGTGACTCCTCCTCCAAGAGCTCTAGCAGTGGTGGGTGGCGTGACAACCACAGTCTTCCTACTAACGCTGGCTCCAACACTTCCACTGAGGTCATCTTGGAGCGATTGGAAGCCCAAGATGGAATCCTCAACCACATGGATGGACAAATTGACTGGCTGTTGGAGATGGTCCAGGGGCTCCAAGCCAAATGCCCGGATCATTCTGGACTTCCCAAGAAAGCCAACCCACTCAGCACTGTCGCTACTGAAAGCTCCGACGGCACAGGAACCTACACCAGAAATCAGCGTAGAAACTCCACTGGAAGCAACCAAGGCAGAGCAGCCTCTACTGGAGGCTCCAACACACGTTATGTCAGCATGACAGTAAACCAGTACTCAAAGAGTGTGCCGAACGCCAGCAACACCACACCTATGAATCATGGTCGCCCTGTCAATGGCCCAGCTACCGCTCCACCACGTCCGACTGTTCAATTCAAGAATGTGGCAGAGGCTGTCCCCATGCCCTTTTCCCAAGTTCAACAGTTCCGGCAGGGAAGACGAGTTGCAGAGAAGACCAGCACCATTCCACCACCCGGCCCTTTCCAGGATCCTGTTAAATATGACAGCCAGAAGCCTCAGGCAGCCAAGTACCCCAATCCGTACAAAAGACAGAGTCCCCCACCTTTGACTCAGCGAATGACTCCTCCACCCTTGACTCAGCAGCAGCAACAGCAACAGCAACAGCAACAGCAACAGCAACAGCAACAGCAACAGCAACAGCAACAGCAACAGCAACAGCAACAGCCTCATTCTCAGGAAAAAAGTGAGGTCCAGAACTGGAGCTCGCAAAAGGAGAACAGCCCCCCGACTTACAGGGCTGATGTCTGAGGAAGAGAATCCAGTTCGATCATCAGTGATGGTCTATTTTTGTTATTCTGACTACTGTTAGCTCTATACAAGTCGGTCCCACATTGTCCAGGGCACTCCGAAGTGTTCTGCGCTGTTCTCAAAAGATAAGATACGACCAAGCCCCAACAAGAACGAGCCATTTGATCCGTGTTTTGAGCCCGTAGTTAATTAACCTGTACTTAAAAAAATTACCCCTTATATCTATACCCCCCCCCCCGTGACATTTTTGCTGTGGTGGAAAGTTGGACTATTCAGAAGTCCTTATGTGCCGTATTGCACGGAATCTGTCCAGTTCAACTTTCGGAAAAAGCAAAAATGCCAGTCTTAACCATCATGGATTTAGAGACAGCGCTCCATGACCTGTTCGGTCATTCGAGATCCGGTGAGGGACCGTTGTCGGTTAGAGCGTTAATGGTCGATCTAAGTACCGTATATATACTATTCAATTCCGTATAGATCTATTGCGTGACACCGCTCATGACTCAATCAATCAAAAATGCTTTTGGCCGGGTGGGCATGGGGAAGTGATAGTGGACGAAATCCAAAGACGACTTTTGATCGGAAAAACGACTGTTCTTTGTGTTGATAACCTATTGCCCCGAAGATCGCGGTAAAATGATGCGGGCCGTTCTCTGATGCTCCTCAATAAGTCTTGCTTCAACGCCAAATCTTAGTGCTTCAGATTCGTACTAAACATTGACTGTGGGTGAAGAAATGCGTCATTTTTGGTACCTTGATTTCGAAGCTGTGGGATTTGAAACTGGATTTGAGGATCGTTGTTGTGTTGTTGCTGTTGTTGCTGAGTGCGTTGTTTACTCTGTTACTTCTGACGCCTAGTAGCTTCATACTCTCGCCATCAATCTATCTATCAAACCGACTTTTACACAACTCTATCCTAGTAGTCTACTCGTCAATACCCACCACATCCATTGCCGGTACGGTATTGCTTCGTCTTCATGTTACGTTCCGCCTTCCAGCCCGTTCAGAGGGTTCCTGCCACGGAAGCCTTGGAGCTCTTGGTCAAGAGCAGCGCTTCTGTTGCTGCTTCGGACGATCCCCTTGAATTGGTTCAAAAGGGGCTGGTCCGTTGCTCTCTCAGTGATGGTAGCGACCTTGCCTTGCTAAAGATCAGCAGTAGTCGTTGCTGCCCTTCACTGGAAGATGACGAAGCTCCACCCAGCAAGGCTGGCAGCAACTTTCCCGAAATCTCCTGGGTTCTCGACGACGATCTTCTCCCCAACGACGACGACGACGACGACTCTGCCACATCTCCTGTGACCCTCCATGTCTACGCCACTGCCTCCTGGAAGGACAACCGTCGCACTTCCTACGATGCCAAAACTGGCGGCTTGGTACGCTCCAAAGGCATGGTCTCTGCTCTCCACATGCTCCGCTTCGACCGCCCAGAACCACCCGTGCAACGTAGAAGGTGCACCATGAATTGAATTCATTCAATGGAATTCAAACGATCTTCCCCTACTTTTGAACAATGTACAACCTATGCAATCTACTTCTTTGCTTTGTGAAATGGAACCGAGTCGAGTCCCTGGTGTTTATATTATATATCCTGGCTCAAAGGCATCTATCTATCTATCTTTGTACAAATCTTGCCCGCCATGGATCCAAAAGACTCGACTCAACTCAACCAACAAGCAACAATTGAGAATCTCAACCTACTCTGGACATACTGAACAAACAACAAACAATCCTTGATCAAACTCTGCCAAAAAAGATGAACATAGAACATCTGTCTGAACAGACAATGATAAATTTCAAACCCATCCTGCACATGTACACGTAGTAGCTCCTGTAGTCAACACTCCTTTGGGCATGCAGGAATGGAACCAATGATTTGCGCTCATAGCTTGCTTGCATGACACTTACCGGTAGCGAACCCAGCTAGACTAGTTTCTTGCTTAGCTTTAGTGCGTCATGCTAGCCAACCTATATTGCAGCTTTTGTGCTGTGCTGCTGTGCTGTAGCAGAGGCCTCCAACCCAGCCAGACTTCTTGTTTCTTGCTTAGCTTTAGTTAGGTCGTCATGCTACTAGCTGGTAGCCAAAGTTCAGAGCAGCTGTTCGTGCTGTGCTGTAGCAGCCAGAGGCCTCCAACAAAGAGCCGCTTGACCGAAAGCATTCCATTCGCAAGCCACTTCACCGAAAGCGGTCTATCCAAGTCGTTGCAGGCCTCTCCTCGTGTCTGTTTCGGGGCCTGCTAGCAAGCTGCCATCTTCTGCCGTAGATAATCCACCTACTCTAAACCCCCGTCAAAGTTCTTCTACCATAGGTTGGCCACAGCTCGGGCGAGGTGTTGCAGGACAGCCCGGGACTACATAAATTGCTTGCTTTTAATGCTAAAGATGCACAAAAGTAACAAGACAGTGCTGGTTATTTGTATAGTTTGTTAGATACTAGAGTGTCGTAATGAAGAAGGAAAGTATACGCTTATAGAGCAAATGTCACGTCCAGCACCGGAATAGTGGCTGCCTGGGCGCTCGACTGCTTGCTGGATGTTTTCAGGTGGGAGATATTGATAGGTAGATGAGTTACTGCGGAGTTGGAAAACTTTATCGGAGCAGATGAAGGAGGGAAGGTGGGTTGCTTGGAGTCCAAAAGGCATGTGTATGTATGGAGTTGTGTACAAATGTAAACAGAAGGGATGCCTTGTGAAAGTATAAACAGGACGGTTGGAGCCGAGCTTCCCAATGAGACGTTGTTGGACCACTCTTGTATAAGTATGAACAGGGGGGTGAGTGGTGCCATGTGAGTGAAGGAACATGTGTCTCCATAATGTGTCTTGTACAGGTTGCTTTGTGGAGGAACAAGTCCTTCTCTAGCCTAGAGAAGGATCAGCAGAAGGAAGGGTCTCTTGGACTGGCACTCAGAGCGCTTTGGTGCGTTCCTGGTGCATGGTGTGTATATTTGGGGAACTCTGAGAGAGTGAGAGTATGTGCAAAGAAAGGGTTCTCTTGTGTAGTTCCGTGTCATGATGTGTTCAGGTTGTTTGTGATGATGAATGTGCATGCAAGATGGGGCAGGTGTGTAATGCGCTTGCAGAAGGTGTGCAATGTGGACAAGTCTTGTGTGTGAACTGTGGTTGGCAAGGGTCGCTTGGTCTAGAGGAAGAACTTTTGGGATTCCGCGTGGTGGCCAACTTCGAGGCCCCCAAGGGAAACCGGGTGTGTGAGGGCCAGAAGGCGGTTGGATTGCTTAGGCTTGCCCTTGGAGTGTCGCTTCTTGTGGGCCTTGAAGGGTGACAGTGTTCGTTTATTGTTCTTCTTTGTCAGAGAAGTAATTGTAGTGGTGGTGGTGGAGTTCATTTCCTTCATGATGGAGGAAACCAAGGAGATGGAGCGCACAAGGCTTCCTCGACGAGGAGCCTCCTGACAGCCAAGGTTGGCTGGAGCTGAAGCAGTCGTCTTCCCGCTGCTGTCCATGCTATCACTGAAGGTGGAGTCTTCGTCGTCGGAAAAGGACCATTCAATGACAGGAAACTGAAAGGGATCGGCGTCCACTTGTTCGGCAGTTGCTGATGTAAGATTGTCCGTGCAAAGACTCTCAGTGGGAAAGCCAAGTCGAGGCCAAGGCATGACAGCAGCACAGGGAATCGTGTCGTCCTTGCAGCTTTGCTTGTGGATAAGCTTGTTGACGGCTTTGGTGGCCTGCAACTGCATGCTGCCGGCACCACTATCAGTTGCACTACGGCAGCGATTGCTTGGATGGCGAAGACTGGTATGGGATGACTGCGAAAGCGGGCTCGAGCTCATGAGGAGTAAACCACACATTTTCGTCGTAAGGTAAGAGGGGATGGTGTGAGTTTCTTTGAGATTGTCGTCTTCGCAAGCTACTCTCTTTCTCTCAAAGCTTGATTGCTTTGCCTCTAAAACTTAAAATAGATAGTTGTTTGCGCTTCTTCTCACGTACGAGTACGATGGTGAGTTCGTCTTTTTACCAGTTATAGGAAGCCGCAAATCGAGGCTCCATGGAGTTCTCAGATGAGAAGAGCATGGCAAGGGAAGCCCTCTCAAGTCTCAAGGAACAGATGTTGCAAAACCATCGGTCCGACTTCTTTTCAGGAGTGGAGGCCCACCGGAGGCTCGTGGTTGCACTTTCTTCGCGTGACGAGGAGCACATGCTCTGGCTTGAAGATCTTTAGAACAAACATTGAAAAGATAAATAGCTTCTACCAGAGTACTAATTGGACCACTGTAAAGATCTGCTTCAATAAACTTAAGAAATTCAGTCCTTCTTCGATGTCTTGCTCGTCGCCTTTTTGTGTTCTTCAAGCTGTTCTGAGCAAGTCGAGTCGCCTTTGTTTAAGCATTCAAGAAAGCTTCTTCAACAAGACCTCACTAAAGTTCAATTTTACAGTCATCATTGCGAGATGTGCTTTAAATGTGATACTGTCAAAGCGTTGAAGCATGTGGGAGCTATTGCCCCCCTCCTTTTCTTCAAAGCGGCAAGAACGCAAGAACAACTCTGCTATTATTTTACTGCTAGATAGCGCAGCTGTGTATACATCATGTGCTTGAATTGGCCTAGCCAGCGTCTCGGATGAGTGGAGTCAAGTCTGAGCCGAGTGTTCGGATTACATGATGCATATCATATTGATCCTGCACTGGTTGAAAGTGTTGAAAGCTACATGCCCTACCGGTATGGTAGCTCTACTGTAGGCATAAGAGAGGGGCGGAATGGATACCAAGTACTTTCCCGGTATCTTCTTTTGCCCTCCTTTGGTCTCGGTGAGGTTGTCCTCGGGCACTTCTGTCTGCAGCCCCTACAAGTGTAAGTCTTTTCGTGAAGACTGCCTGCAGCCACAACCACAATATTCCAGATAGAATGTCACTTGATGGCAACCCACCAATACTGCTTTGCTTAATCTTCTTGCTGAGCTGGCAAGCATACTAGTAGAATACGAGTAAATAGCCACTAGCTAGCTATCTGGCTAGTCAACGAGACGTGGAAAAGAGAGAGATGCAACTCTACTTTCCGGGGGCAAAGGCCACCATGACCCACTCCCTTTCCAAGTCAAAACCGCAATGCATACAGTTACCAGTTACTCAGTAGTTGATAAGTTGACAAGGATCTAATTAATAATATGCTAAAGCAGCACTGCTAGCTTCATTAAAGGCCAAACACCCAATTTCAGGTTGTCGCTGCTGGGACTTCTTTTTGAGCCACCTCAGATTTCTTCAATCTGCACAGAATGCTGCAACACAAAGTCCAATTTCATCTCGGCAATAACGCTGCCAAGCAACTATCCATGCCACAATTAGACTAGTACAATTTGAAGTTGATCGGAGAAATGTTCTTGGTGATCTACGTGGCACAGCTGCGGCACAAAAAGAGGGTCTCTTGCATTCTTAAAAGACAGTTGAAGCTTGTTTTACAGTTCGGTGCCATTAAGAATCTAAGTGCTGAACCGAGTTGGAAGAGAGGAGAGAAGGCACAAGGCCAAATCAGTATTGCCTCCAATGGACATGATCTCTGAGGTGGCAGCAAAATCGAAGAGAGAGAAACCGAGGAAGCATTCGTTATGCTGCCACCTCAGGGACAAAAGCATAGACTTGAACCCCTGATCGTAGCTAAGAGACCGATGGCAATGGTGGGGTCATGAAACATATCCAGACCTGCTGAATCAAGCCATGGGAAGTCTCGACTGAAGGCTCACAATCTGTTTCTATACCCTCATCTATCCGCTCTCAGCAACCATGTGCACAATCGCCAAGCCAACCGGTATCCGCGGGCCCATCAGCCCACTCGTCGACCGCTTCGACCTCCCCGCCACAGCGCCCCTGAATAGCAACTTTATGAAGGCCAGGAAGCGCAGCAGTCTCAGCTTGTTGGAGAAGACTAGCAGCCCCGCAACCAACAGCCTTCTCAGCATCGTGCGAGCCTCTGAAGAGGGAAGCAACAAGCGACGAAAGCGCAGCAACAGTTGCTCGCCATCTTTCGAAATCTCCGGCCTCTTCAATAGCTTGCTCTCCACTGATAGTGTTGACTTTCCCTCTCTCGAGTGGAACTTCGACATGGACAGCACCACCAGCAAAAAGACTTCCGATCTCATGTCCGCCTCTGAACCTTGCATCCAGAGCAGCCACCGCCGCCGTGGATTGGTTCGATCCAAGAACTTCCAGCCCACTCGTCTTTGCTAAAGCGAGATGGCCTTCCTTCTCCTGCACAAAGGGCTTGCAACAATGCAGCCCGCCTAGCTACTCCCCCGCCTGAACTCGCCTTTTTTAGACAGCGTTTCAAGGCATGCTACAAAATGACTCATAACATAACCTCTGTAAACTACTAAAGTTTTCTCATAACACCTCCACTAAATTCATTGTCTTCTAGCTAGTAGTTGAGTTTCCCTTCTATTGACCTGACTTGCAATTGAAGCCCGCCCATTGCTTCAACCCCCCGACTCTCATGAAGCCCCAAGGAGCCCCTCTGGGCAACTAGCTAGCTGGTTGTCGTCTGTCGTCGCAGCCCCCGGTACCGGTACCGCTTTTCACAGCAGGGATAACAAAGTGGAGGTTGGAGAGGAACATGCATCGAATAGTTCAAGAGGATTAGGACCTCTATCGTTCCCATGAAAGAGGTTTGGATAGAATTGAGAGCTCGATGCGTACGATCGTAGTAATACCTATTGATCGACCAAAACAACTGGCTAAGAAGTGCCACAATGGCTGCCTCTTCGATTGTCGGTCCCTTGGATGAGGTACCCATAGCTATTTTCATTCTGCCAAGGCGCCTAAGCATCAGTGTGATCTGGATTCTTATAATAGGGGATGCGTCTCTAATTTTTAGTGTACTAAGTTTACAGGATTAATGTTAACAGTCTGGTAGGTAGCTACAACAGAAAAAGGGAGGTAGATGGATATTGGTTGAACCCCTAGATGTCAAGGGCCAAGCCAGTCAAAAAGGCAGGAGGAGGGAGGAAGTGTACATGGAATAGATGCAAGATAAGGCTGCTGATTCAAGCCTTGGTACTCCCCAGGCTGAATAGCGGCATGAGGTCACAGTGCTCATTCGAAGCAAAGTGGTTCACCAACCGGTCTACTTCATGCCGCATAGTCTTGGATCGTAGCATGCCACCACTACGACTTCGCTTCCCCAGTAAGCAAGAGGCGGATATAGATCGCCTTGCATTCGAATCTCTGGAAGAACAGCGAGACATACAAGGGGTGGTATCTTGTTGTTGTCCAAATAATACGCTTGGTTTTCGCTGAGTGGCGGGATCATCCTGCCCTCCCTTCTTATCCGTGTCCCCTTCTTTGTCATCGTCTAGACCAGGCCATGCCAAGCTTGGGAATGCAAAGCTATTGGATGGACCAGATTCTGTGGCTTGGAATAGTTCTGTCATGTCAAACTTGGGTTTGGATGTGCTCTTCTTGCTAAAGCTAATCATGGCGGGAGATCTACTTGGCGTGTCTCCAACGGATTGCTTCAGTCGTTTCCGTGAGGTATCCCTCATTAGCTCCTCTAATGCAGAGCTTGCAGAACAAGGACGCAATGCTACTAAAGGCTGCAATGGTTTCAACTGTACCAGGGGCTTGAGTGGTGTCAACGGCTTGAGTGGTGTCAAAGGCTTGAGTGGTGTCAAAGGCTTGAGTGATGCCAATGGTTTGAGTGGAACCAAGGGCTTGAGCGTCGAGGACCGACTTAACCCGATTCCCAATGCCGCTGTGGCGGGAGAGGGCACATCCACAAGCGGCTCTAGTGTGAAAGTCTTCGATCTTCGCATGCTTCTATTGCTCGGCTTTCGAGCCAACAGGTTGCCCAAAGAACCGCTGCTCATGGTTGCGGCCATGTCCACTATCTATCTGGTTGTTTTACTGGCTGGTGGTACCTGGGTATTGAATCATTCATTCAGCAACCCTTCATCAGAAGCAGAGCAGAGCCAGGGTCTTGTTCCCAGTTCCCAGCAACCAATTTGTACCAGCTCAGCATCCATCCGCCCTTCTTGGGTCATCTGCTTCTTTTATCTGTCGGGCGGGGTGTAGCGTTCATCGAAAAAAGCAATCAATATTCTCCGCCACCTCAGTGAGGTGGTGCACCACGTATCAGACAGGTTCTTCGCAATCTTCTCTTGCATGACTCATTTCTCGGAATATTCTGTTAAGTATCTTCAAGGAAGCCTTTTCGGAGGTGTTATTATGTCGCATCGCATTAGGACAGATTTAGACAACTTCCAGTCGCTGAAAGCGTACTGCACGTGTAATTGCACGTAGTGAAAAGGGATTTGGGGGTACAGCTTACATAAAAGAAGATACCCGATGAGAAGTTTGTAGTGCGTGGCGTTCTTGCGATTCTTTCGCCGTGAGCCTCAACAGCCCTAATTCTTAAGTGCTCACGAAGGCTTCAAGAGCCCCAATTGCCACAGCAAATAGGCCCACAGAGCTGGAAACATTCGTCACCAAAATATGTTTACACCCGGTCAAGTCGAGTCGGTATCCAGGTAATCCACATCATGCACATAGGTTCAGAAGGGAGGAACGCGGACAATAAACGCCGGGCATGCCTCGAAAAAGACTTAACACAATTTCTGGATACTGCCATCTTAATAATAATAATAATATGTGTTCCCTGTTGCATCGTTCCGAGGACTGTAAGTCGGTTGTAACTGTTTAGCATTAGAATCATGACAAACGTTGACTTCACGTATGTGAAGGGGCCTTATAACACTTAATATGTCTTTAGCAAATAATTTAAGGCAAATGCTTCAGAACGATAGCACGAAAATCCGAGCCGGGCAGCTATTGTCCCCTGTGAACCTATGTGCATGTACACATACACGTACCGGTTCGGCTGTACCGGTACTGCATTACCGTACCTACGGTACATACCAGTACTATTTAATAGCTAGCACTGAGTACTCGTTTACAGGCCACCAGAAGAGGACACTGGAGTTGTAATAGATATACCGGGCAAGCTGCATTAAAAAATGAGCCGGCATGAAATATTGCGAAATTTGGCTGAAGTTAGTGTCATTAGATTCTTCCGTCTGAGAAAGCGGCTTGGTAGCTTAGCGGAGTTTAGAGGTGTGAAACGTGAGTTACTAGATTTTCCGTCTGAGAAAGCGGTTTGGCAGCTTTTCCCCATCTGAGAAAGCAGGCTTGGTAGCTTCAGGGAGTTAGAGGTGTGCAATGCGAGTCACTAGATTCTTCCGTCTGAGAAAGAAGCTTGGTAGCTTAAGGGAGTTTAGAGGTGTTCAACTTGAGTTATTAGATTTTTCCATCTGAGAAAGCGGCTTGGTAGCTTAAGGGAGTTTAGAGGTGTGCAACGCGAGTCACTAGATTCTTCCGTCTGAGAAGGAGTTTGGTAGCTTAAGGGAGTTTAGAGGTGTGCAAAGTGAGTTATTAGATTTTTCCACCTGAGAAAGCGGCTTGGTAGCTTTTAAAAAGGAGTTTAGAGGCGTGAAACGCGAGTCACTAGATTTTCCGTCTGAAAAAGTGATTTGGCTTACAGGAGTTTAGAGGTGTTCAAGCAAGCAATGTAAGTCATTAGATTTTTCCGTCTGAGAAAGCAGCTTGATAGCTTAAGGGAGTTTCGAGGTGTGCAATGTGACGAAAATATTAGGATCCGTTGTTGCTAAGATGATGAGAATGCGTGAGAAATTCGGATAATGGGACCCAAAGGGGGGCTGAGGTCACTTAGAGAAAGCTCTAACCCTAAGAATGACCACACAAAGCCCACCACCACCACAAAAATGGCCTCAGAGATCACGGGGGCTGCCCGATATATAGATCATGCGGTACTCTGGGGTACCTCTATTCCAATCCAGACGATCGGACGATTTTTATGTAATCGACCAATCCGATATGGCGAAGTATTATAAAGAACGAGGAAAAAGAAGCATGCCGGCAGGTATCTAATTAACTAATTCTTAACGTTCTAATTACCAAAGTTCAAAATGAAGCACCAATGGAAGTTCAAGTGATAACCGGTGAAACGCAATGGCGCCTTCTTCAACTGTGTTCTCTCTTTCGTCTTCTTCTAGTAGCGCTGGTAGAAGGTGTAGCAGTCGCAAACGTGGTGCCGACAATGGTGGCGAAGCCGCCATCGTGAAGCTGAACCCTCTCAAGTCAATCCGACGGATTGAATGGCCGTTAGAATACAATCTGGTGTGTAGTAGCTGTTAATTTTAGTTTGGAGCTTCAGCCAGCTTCAAGAAGAAGCCTCACCACCAAAGCCATACAGGAGTGAAATTCCAATGCAAGAAGCAATGGATGTGCAAGCCTGATAATAAAGCCGTGAAGTTCAATATGTCGGCAGATTGGATAAGGGATGTTGATGCATTTCTCTACGCTCGCTTCCATATGAATGCAATTCAGATCCAACAAACACCACACTCAGCATCTCATTCAGCAACAAAAGACACAGTAACTACTTTGGTGGGAAACGATACCCCAGATAGTGACATCGTGGTGGTGGAAGCAGTGGCAGCGGAAGAAGATGGTCAAAAAAGGAAGAAAGAAAAGAAGAAATTCAAGTGGGTGACATCAGCGTCAACAGCTAGAGCAGTTCTTTCTCCATTGAAAACGTCCCACATACACACATCGTCATACCCAAGTGCCAGCATGAACGTCTGAAGAATGTGGAATGTCAAGTGAAACATCTCCAGAAGGGATTTACCAACAAGCTTGCTGGTCCATTCGATATACGATCTACAGAAAAACCTTGACATGGACGTTTGGAGAAGTCATGTCACAGAAACGCTTACCTTCATGGATGAGTTCCTAACCAAGGAGAGTACGTTGCCGGGAAACAGCAGAGGACAAAGCATTCGCCTTGAAATGAGAACATGTCAAGACCTTCAGAGAATTCGACAAGCTGGATGAGGACAGAAGGAACAAGCTGAGACACAGGATGCAGGCACCTGTCTTGCAAGGTGGTGGAGTGTTGGCGACTGCAACCGAACTGTTCTTCTGTGTTATTTATTCCTGGTATGGCTGTGTCAGTGCTTCATCAATGTGCGACGGGATACAGCTTACAATTCAGCTTTACAGCTTTATAAATTGCGGGCCTATTCTAGAAAATAATCAATAACTGCTCACTTATTTGGAAATACAAACTTTACATCTCTTAGATCGTTAGATTAATCAATCCACAATGGTATTGTCGCATGGTAGCATGCGAGGTTATGAGATGTTACTCATTCTTATTCTTATATGTCTATCCCTTATGGTTGTCAATGGAATGAGCTATCCCTTGGTGCAGAGTCCTGAGTTTCTCTCATTATCTTCATCGGTAGTCCTTCCCCTTATTGCAACTTAATCTGTCGATTGGATCCATATGATCCCTTTGTCGATACCTTGGATTCGCTCGCAAGCAATCCCCTTTTTGTTGATTCGCTCGTAAGCAATCCACTTGTTCCCCTTGTTCTTTATCCTGTTGTCGATCGAAATCACGATGAGGATCCTATTATCTTGACGACTCGGCTTGTGTGTCATGCATTGAGTCATGCTTCCGGAGCCACTTTACCCCCTATTATTGGCCGTTCCTCCGGTTGCTGGCTTGCTGTTGCAGTCGGTCGTTGAACTGGCTTGCAGTGGTCGTTTGAAAGATAACAACGCGCGGTCGCTGTTAAATTTAAATTTGGATTTGCCAAACAATTCGGGGTGGGCCTCAACTCGACGTCAGATCCAACTGCTCATTATCCACCACTCTCCTCCTCCTGTTGCTTGCTCTTGTTGCCTCCGCACGCACTGTTGACCTTGTTGATTTTCACTGCTCCTATTTCATCAGCTATTAATGGACCTTGACGACGCTTCCTTACTTCAGCATCCTCTTCATCATCGACTCCTTCAACAGTACCAGCGCCATCCTTGTTCAGTCCACAGGGATTCAGACAAGCCTTCTTGAATCTGATCCATCATCCCACCATCTGATCCTCCACCATGACTACAGCACCACTTGACCCAGTCATTCCAGGAGCTCCTCCAACATATTGGGAAATCCAAGGAAAAGACCAAGCTTACAGAAGTCCCTCGGCTTGGAGGTATCAACCACACTGGAGCCTGGCAGGATCTGGCTCAGATGGACTGGGAAAGGAACCTCAAAGCACCCTATGCCTCAGGGGTTTCATGGAGACGACCATCAAAACATCACACCACACTCCAGCCAATTGAATTGGCATGCAAGAAAGGACTGAAGGATTCCCCCAGTCTCCTCTCTCTACTTTGACTGAGTCCAATGCCTCTGGATCCCATGTGTTAGCCTCTCTTATCGCCTTTGAAAGTATGATGACTGAGCATGGAATGGAAGGGATCTTTGAGCTTGTTGTTGGTGTCTTAATACTAACACCATTAAAAAAATTAATATGTTCACCGCTCCGGGCAGGTCTCAGAATCTATGATGGACAAATGGCATCAGGATCTCACAGTAAATGGGGTTGGATTCATCGATGCTGGGACTCTGAACCCACACTCTGTTGCCAGTATGATCTACCAACCTTGCCTGGTCGGGAAAGGCTGTCTTGAACTCTTGCACTGATGCACTCCAGGAAGAATTGAAATCATATGTCCTCGACCAAGCACAATGGGCCCCAGCTTCTCTTGGCTCTTCTGCAGAAGATATACAGAACTTCTCTCAGCAAGATTGAGACCCTCAAAGCAAGCTTCTTCATTGGACATCACCAAGTTCCTGGGGAAAATGTTCCATGTATTTGTCGATGCAAGCAAGCAATCAAAGAGATTCGATTGAACTTTATGTCCAGTGATCCCATGCCTGAACTAACCAGCACATCCCTGAGAGGTCTTCTTGGATGGGGGTGTCCATATTTTCGATCCAAAGTCC